ATAAAAAATAGTCAAATGGCCTTGTCAGTGCAGCCCACGATATCATAGAGAAAGGCCGAGTTCTGGGTGCCATCTATTTGACTGGTGGAATCGCTCATCTAATCAGGTTCATCACTGGATTCACAACTGACATAAGTAACAAATACACTCAGACACACTAAGTCTTGCTTGTACATCAAGCCTATCATTCTGCCAGTAGTGGTCCTCAAAGAAGAGAAAACCATCTGTGCCGGCTGAACGGGCTGGCAGTGTTTGAACACTTTCATTGTCTTAAAACAAGATGACTTACTTATAGCGTATACTGTCCTCTTAAACGTTGCCTCTAATTGTCTTCACCTGTGATTTCAGTCATATTCCTTGTCCTTTTCGTCTTATTTCCTTCCCGTTCCCTCTGCTGTTGAATCGCCGCCATTTTGCTTCCAGTCAGTTTACTGCCCACGTGTTCACGAAGCGTAGGTGGTAGTAATGGCGTAAGTACTTGCTAAGTGGCCTCGTGCTTTGATTTTCTTCTTTCCCTTTAACAAGCTTTACTATACTATTATCTTATATCAAAGGAACCGAAAATCCAAGTATTGCACAACAGTGGAACACCGCCGTTTATAGCACGTAAAGTAAGAAAGTTATTCAAAATTTAAAAAGGCAAAGTCAGTGTGGCCCTACTATAGTATTAGTTCTAGAACTAGATTTCAATAAATTTTAGCTATTGTTCTAGTTCTAGAGCTAAGTTATAGTTCTTGTACTTGTTCTGGCAATAGAGTTTAAGAAGCTTAGTTCTAATTGGAAATAATTTCTAAATACTGCTTCTTTTTGCTTCTGCTGTCATGCTTTAACTGCTTAGCTTTGAACTGAACAAGTATTCAAAAGTCTATTGATATACTTATGCATTATAATCTATGTCTAAGTAACACATTCATACATTATTTGTTATTCAGTCTTTGTTATGTACTAAAATATTTAACTGACAAATTAGTACCTTCTTTGTCAACTAATATTGTTCTACAATTCTAGTTCCAAACTAATTCTAGTACCACAAGAGAATGTACTTTTAGTTCCAGTATAGTTCTAGTACTGAGACTCTGGCAAAGTTTAGTTCCAGTTTAGTTCTAGTACTACAAGTCTTGTATAAGCTAGTTCTAGTTTAGTTCTAGTTCTTACATTGGTTGTAAAAATAGTACTAGTTCTAGTTCTTGGAACTAGAACTATGAAAAAAAGGCAGTACTAGAATTGATTTAGTTCTAGTACCAAGGAACTACAACAACACTAATATCTATCAAACAAGACTTCCTAATTGGCCAGTTTAAAAACTTAGAAGGCTAAAAAATTTTAAATCACACATACATGTACATACATGTATACTACAAACTTCATGAATTCAAGAATACAATGTATCATTAGACATATACTGATAAACCAAAGCTCGAAAGTTTTCACAAAAACAATAACCCATAACATCTAGCACATTCTGGTGTCTGAATCTAAAAACTCAATTTACAGCACTGCTTTGAGTCAATAGATTACTACATAAGAGCAGATAACTCAGCCTTTATCTGAGTAGAAGGTGTAGTACCAACCAAAGCCTGAGCTCCTTCCTGGTATCAAGAATAATACAAATGAATAGAACTGAAAATATCTCACTGAATTGAGAACTTTCACTGCTGCCTTAGTCCCCTTACTTCTTAAGTTCTCTGCAAGAAAAACTTTACCGAAACCTCCACTTCCCAAAGGAATATTAAGGTTGTTTGTAGCTTGCATTATCTCATCTTTTGTAAATTCCAGTGACGCAACTACAAGTAAGATAATATCTATTTTCTAATTGCTAAAAATGTAAATACAGGTACTTACAGTAAGGGATAGGCATCTGGATAGTTCGCACTGGTCTTCTTTGAATATCTATAAAATGTTATTATACAACTTGTGATTTAGCATAACAACTAACGTTTTGAAGCATCCTTAACATTAGTTGAAGTTACATTACTTGGAGAATCTGTGATATAAATGAACAGAACTATATATCCATCATTTGTACCTACCAAATGTTGGAGAAGACTGGACATCAAATGTCCTCACACATCTAATATCATTATTCACAAAAGCCTCACACACATAAAGAAGTGGTTTATTCACAAAAGCAACAGGAAAAGATGGTATTTCAAAATTTCTGTCCATTGGACTGCTCCACTTATACTCACAATTATAAGAACAAATCAAAACTAAAGCAACTTGCTTATCAGGCCTTTCAAGTAGAGACTTTGGATGGGAAGTTGGGAACTAAATAATTGGACTAAACATTTTTTCAAATATAGTTAATACAATGCATTAAATTACTCACGTCTACTATTATTTGGCTCATAAAGTATCAAATGATCTAAACAGCAACATCAAAATAATTATAATTAATAAAAAATGTACCTCGCTTCCGAATCACTTTAAATACTGTAAAATCCGAAGAAGGGTTAAAAGCTCCAAAACAATCCATTTTTTCTGGATGACCATTATCCTTCAGCCACACCTCATACTGAGTTAATGCTATACTATCTTCTTCAAAACAATATAGAACTAAATTTAGATGTAATTTAAATTAAAAAATTCCCAAATAAAACACTACCTTCGTATGCATCACTTGACTCTTCACAAGAATTATCATCAAATATTTGAACATCATTAAACTGGTCCTTGAGATAGCTCTTTCCTACTTTATCACTGACTAAGTTTTGTTCTTTGCTACCATCATCTCCTAAAAATTTGCTTATAAATGTTTCAATAAACACACAAATTACTTTTCTGTTTCTTTCTTTCTTGAATGAAAATGTCACTACCAATACCAAGAGTGAGTTTGTCAGGTGCAATGTGACGTTTAGCAAGATAAGCACCTAGGGTCCATTTTTGAGACCTGCTACCAGTTTCTATTGTTTCATCTTTAATAATACAACCACGAAGAGACAGCAAAACACAGTCAGTATCATCAACATCAAGCACCTCACTAATCTTTGATACTACATCACCATATGCATCACTTTTTAACAAATCAACCTCATACATTGCAGAATCCTTTCTGAAGCCAACTCCTTTTGTACTAGGAGTCATATGACAGCAACTGATCTATGATAAAAAGTGTGATAAAGCTTTACCATTAGAGTGTGTTGGATCAATCCCAATATTCGCCACCCTCACGAAATGGCACTCAGGGGCGTGGTCACCACGCCCACTAACTATGATCACTCTGGTGGGTGTGGCAAAATAAAATGGCCGCCGAAACAGCAGAAAAAACACCTTGACAAAAACGGAGAAGAAAACAGCTTTTTAGTCACTTAGTGATGAAACAAGGTTCCTCGAGAAAAGCAGAGATCATGTTAGTTATATGTTTA